CACACCACGATGATTGACTTCCATCAACAACCACCCTCTGGGTCCTACCGCGGAGCCAATTCCTCAGCCAGCGGATCGTGGTGAGGTCGAGGCTGCAGTTAACCAGTTTTGCCAAGAGGTGATCATGGGATACCAGATGGAAGGCTTTTTTGAAGTCAAGATATATGACATCAATCTCTTCCCCCTTGTCCAGGTGATAGGTCACTTGGTCGTAAAAGGAAATGAGATTGGTCGAGCAAGACCTACCTGCAACAAACGCATGCTGGGTATCCCTCAGGATATTGCCATCAACTTTTATTCTTCTGATGACCAAGTGCTGAGACAGTAAAGGAGAGAGGTAGAAAATGCTCCACAGACAGGTTGCTGATATTTGGCATTATTGTGATATACCCCCTGTGGGCAGTGCACATGCATAGGAACATCCTGTCCACCTGACAGCTGAAGTCATACAATCAACAAGTGCCTGGAGATGGCTGTTTCATAACATGATGTTCTTGAACACTGTGGATAGGGTTTTTTTTCTGTATTAACGAAACTCCCCAGTAGACTTAACCCTGGGTGATACCAAATGCAACACTCTATACCAGAAGCTGGCAACATTTTCTGGAAATGGGCCAGAATGGCCCAACTCAGGTGCAACTGATGCTAGGACCCAGCCGCTGCCACTCTTCCCCACTACCTGATCATGGTGTGGCATGAGTAAAATTTGCTGTGGTGCAAAGCAGCATGGACAAAGCCCCCTGCCACTGAATGCCACCACAGCCCCCTGCCTCCATTGGGCCATAGGTTGCTGACCCCTATACAACAATTAATAAAAGTCCTTCTCTATTTTTAATTAGGGAAAACATATTGCAACCCTCACTCACAATAACTGTATTTGAATTCTTCTGTGCTTCTGATATGGGAGTTTGGCCACAATGCAAACAAAGCTAGAAGAGTAGTTGATGATTTATTCCCGGCTGTACCTGCACAGCTATGTATGCTTCTCACACCAGGAGATAGAGGCATTTTGATGTAGTCTGTTTGAACATTGTTCCCCCTTCCAGTGAAAAGAGCTATCTTGGGGAGGGGAGTAGACACAGCCTAAGGAAGCATGCTGTTGTGCTTTTGTGGGAGATCAGCTGGATGTTCCTACAGCTGGTGGTGAACGTGTTTACATCCAGTAGAACAACCTCTGGCTGTGGTCTGAAGTGAAGTACAGGTGCTCTAAGCACCTGCTCCAATACTTCACTTAATCATAGAATGTGTTGAAATCCCAGCTGTGACCCAAAAATCACTCCAGGCAGTTGTTCAGAATCAGTCTAACCACCAACACCCCCTGTCCTTCATCCTTTTTAAATTAAGAATTATGCTCAAAATCCTGCAAAGGGAACAGATTCCAGAAGTGGAGTCTTTATGCAGAGAGGCTCCTCCCATGACATACTGGGTCTTTTAAATTTAAGTTCTCACAGTGAGAACTTCCCAACTTAATGGAGTTCAGAGCAGTGTAGTGAGATGGGTACATAACTTTGGTCTCATAACCAAGTCTCAGAACTTTCAGAATTTTAAAGATTTTAATTAAAGATATTGGTGACAAGCAGATGTGATTGGAAAGGTTTGAGCACAGGAGAGATGTTCATGCTGTATTTCACTGCCCCAGGCATTACCTCACATTTGGCTGGTCTTTCATACAGGCTAGGCTTGTTGGTTTGCTTTTATGACGATATGGGAGAGATGGAAGCCGCTGTGGCTCGGGTTTTACTTCACCAGATGATCAAATGCAATCACCTGAGAGGCTTCCAGGCCGAGGTTCACAAGGTGTGTATACTGTTTATTCTCCCGTAAAATCTAATGGATAATCTGATCCTGGAAAGAGGCAGGGAGATTGTTTCTTCTAGAATCCAAAGTGAAATGTCACTCACCTCTAGGAAATGCAAGAACAAATACTTGATTGTGTAATGCAGAGGATAGAAGCTCATTGATGCTTTTCCCAGATCTTTTTTTTTTAGCCTGTTTTCTCATTTCTCATATTCTTATGCAAAATGTGGTTCTACTACAGTCCTTCTGCAAAATGGGTTCTTACTGAGAGCGTGCTTGTAGTGCTGATGCCTATTCCAAAAGCCCTCTGAGCATTCGGGGTGATGGTGGAAACAGGATCTTGGCAAATCTCCCTGTTTTGCCTCTACCTTTTCTTGTTTTAGCTCAAAGCTCAACTGCTGGACATTGCCATGCAAAACCAGACTTTGAATGATACCCTTGGGTCTCTGTCAGATGCGGTGGTTGGGCTGACTTCAGGTCAGCTGGAATCCTTGTCACCTGCAGCTGTGCATAATGCTATTTCAACATTAAACCAAGTCTCTGGATGGGCTAAAGACCAAATTATGGTTTTATCCAGCAAATACCTCACTCACGAAAAGGTACGTTTGGGATTTCTCTGATGTCAGTCATATTTGATGAAAGCAACCAAAATGCAACAGCCATTGCTCAACCACAGCTCCTGATTTGAAACAGGTTAGGAGCCACAAAATGTTTTGCTTTCTAGTTCATTCACAGCCAAATGTTTTGGTAATGCTGTGACCGAGATGGTCAGAAAATGTTGTTTAAATTAAGTTAAAAAAAATATAACCCCTAAAATATAACCTGATGCAGCATGGAGGCACATTTTCAGTGCATTATTTTGCTCATTCTTCCATGTACATTGCACTTTGAGAATTATTACTGCAGGTTACACATTGCAAAGAGTAGGAAGTTGAAAACTGCATCTTAAACTAGAAATGTATTTCATATTTAGCATTAAAAGTAATTTTACATTAGGGATTTTTACAGTTTGTGGATAAGAAAACTTCCCATTTTGTTTGTTCTGCTCTCCATGTAGGTTTTATCATTCCATAACATAAGTCAGATGGGTGCTTTGGTGACTGGAATTAGCACCCAGTCATTCTACAGCATGAACCCAAAGGAACTCTCTCAGGTGATTAGAGGCATTTTATCTCAGTATGCATCTGATTTATCACCTGCTCAACAACATGGCATTCTTAGTAAGGTAACTATGATCTCTTGTGTGTTCAGACCCAATCCCCACCAGCCCTAATGTGTAAGGAAGGACCACACATGCACAAAAAGATGTAAACTGGCACTCACGTGGATTTGGGTTGTATTCTGAACTGATGTAACAACATTATTCCTATTCTGTTTTCTCTTAAGCATCAGTTAAGTTTCAAAGGTTATAAACTCTTCCTTCTATCATGCTATAACGTGATTTAGTTTTGGAGTATGAATCAACAATCAAATTAAAATGAGTTAACAGGAGTCAGGATCTCACTGCAGAACAGCAGATGTTCAGTGAGTCTCTGTTAGCCCATTTGTCTGCTCTGAACTGGTAAGTGAGATCAGAGCAGCTTATCCCTAGATGAAACAGAGCTATGTTTTCCCTGATTTACTGTTCTCTTACTATAGGTTAACAGCAGGGGGAGACAGTTCCTGTCCCCTCTTAACTGTTCCTGTTAACTCACTTTAATTTGATTATTCATAATCTTTGAATAATGAAATGTGCCTTTCCTTGAAACCTCTTGAGATAATGCAACACTGTAATGAAAAAATCATCTTGTTCAGATATAAACTCTGAGAACTATAATTTCTTTGCCTTTTTATTAGATGATTGCACCTAGAGATTTTCCTTCATCAGTCACAGATATACAAGGAGCTTTTTTTAAAGAAGTATCTCTTTCAGCTTTGTGGAAGGAAACAGATTTTAACTCTTCAGTGATGAAAGAAAAAGAATTGAGGAGGAGCCAGGTAATGAGTAGTTCCAGTGGTACCCAGTGGGGATTTCTTCAGAGACCCAATAAAACACCTAGTCTAGTTGTTTTGCTTTAAGAACTCTCCACTGCTTACAGTGACAGGCCATGTTTCACCAGTGAAGACAAGTGACAGAACCTTGAAGATTCTCTTCCCAGTCTTTATTTTCAGATGCATGTCCAGTGCCCCCTGGAGAATGAATAGGAGTGTAAGGTTGAAAAGCCTACATGTAAAGAATATGTGGTGAAAGGAAGGAATTGGTCTAAATATGTTTTGACTAATGCAACCCAGTGTGCCTTGGAGCTAAGCAGCATTATAAAGCAATCTTTATGTAAGGATAAACTTGAACGGCCAAGCACAAAAATCATCATGATTCTGTCACACATTTCTTCTCCTTCCCATACTGCATATTTGACTTTGTGTGTCTGACTAGTCATGATTCCAGATGTAACAAAGTCTACTATCTACACAGTACACCATTCCTTAACTCACTAATTAAATTTACCCCTGCCAATAAGGGTTCTAGGGTGCAATGACTTGGATGTCATCAGTGTATTTAATGTTCATAAAAAAGATGAATGTGCCAGGAACATTCAGCATTTCCTTTAGCTATCAAACTTATTACCCAAGAGCCACTTTCATGTGTTTTTAATTTCAGGCCTTGTATCTGTATGAATTATTGTCTAAGAAAACAGCTCCTGCTGACCTTTTAAGGTATGGATATTAGTCTACTCTACATTGCCAGTGAAACATGGTTTACACCTTGTTTGCCATCATTCTTGCAGCAAAGTGAAATATCTTCTGTTAGTCTCATAAGATTCTACATTTATATGATACCTTTCATCCCCTGAGGCCCCAAGCGCTTCATTTTAGGGGCCCCTAAATCCAGGGCCTAGATCAGAACATCCCAAAAATCTTTGGGTAGTTCAGAGTTCATAAGCAAAATATTACAAATGTAGGCTCAACTCTGCTTTCCACTGCCTAAAGGATTCTAAAAGAATGGCACAAGGAAGGAGGGGGGATGAAGAGGTATCCAGAGGAGGTTCTTTCTGGAAAGCTGATCTGTGGAATGAGAAAAGTTGAAGAGTCTCTGTTAGATATGCTAACGTGTTCTTGAGATCATAGTTTATCAGAGGTGACTGCCAGTATCTGGGGGAACGTTTGTTCACCAGAGCACCCCAAGGGATGATGAAGTCGAATAGTTATAAACTACTGCAAGACCATTTCAGGCTGGACATAAGGAAGAATTTCTTTACTGTCCAAGCCCCCAAGGTCTGGAATAGCCCACCACCAAGTTCTGGTTCAAGCACCCACATTGAACACCTTCAAGAGTAAATTGGATGCTTTTCTTGCTGGGATCCTATGACCCCAGCTGACTTCCTGCCCTTCGGGTGGGGGGCTGGACTCGATGATCTTCAGAGGTCCCTTCCAGCCCTAATGTCTATGAAATCTATAAAATCAGAGAAAATGAGGGTTCAAAGGGACCTCAGGAGGCCATCTAGTCCAACCCCCTGCTCAAAGCAAGGCCATCCCCAGCTAGATCATCCCAGCTGAGGCTTTGTCTAGCTGGGTCTTAAAAACCTCCAAGGATGGAGATTCAACAACCTGTCTGGGTAACTTGTTCCAGTGTTTTATTACCCTCCTAGTGAGAGTTTTTCTTAATCCAAAGATCCAAATTTGTTGAGGGGTTTTTCTATCAGTACAGGGCAGCTGGTGAAAGGAGTAACCTGCCAACAGATTGAGAGGATGAGCACAGACTCTTTTTTAAATCACTTCAGGCTCTTTGAAAAGCATCTTGAGTTGCTTTCTCCATATCAGGTAAAACTGGAAATATTATAGTATGTGTTTAACACAGGTTAATATTATATGTATTTAACTTTCTTGCATACCACAGTTCAGAAGCCACGCACAACTTCTGGACAGTTTAAGTATGACTTCTGATAAAAGAGAAGTTCGGGCACTATCTGCTGATAGTTGACTCTGGAGCACGTGCATCTCAAGTGTTGTATCTTGTGGTTCTCATCCCGGTGAGATGTAGGTTTGTGGATAAGAAAACTTCCCATTTTTTTTGTTCTGCTCTCCATGTAGGTCAAAAGCATTGTAATGTAAAAGGATTAGGAAATTTGGTAACCCCAGTATATAATCTGATATACCACTGATAAATTAGATTATATACCAGTGGTATATCAGATTATGTAATATAGTAGGTAAATCAGAGCCAGATGAATTCATGAATAAAATTCAAGCTTTACGTGTGTGTCTTTCTGTATAATATTTGTTGTTCAAGAGTAAGTTGCAGAAAACTTTCTACAGCTCATTCTTGAACTACAGCTAACTCAAGAATAATTTGTTGTATAATACAAACACTCGCATGCTTCCCAACATGGGACTTTTCATCTCTGGTACCTAAGAAAAGACAACTGCAAACATTTTTGTAGGAGCTATGTACATTAAAACAATCTACAAAGATAGTACACACAAATCTGGTATGTTAATTCATTTGATGTAATAGATAAAACATACATGCATTTTTCCTCAGGATTCACAAGTGTCTACTTTGTAAATATTTCCCTTTTTTTTTAGGTTAATTGTTTGGCTTGGAAATTTTGGAAGGATTCCAACACATCTATCCCCCCTTTCCTCTTATCAGTTCTTCCGTAAGTCACTCTTGTTACATACAAGGAATATATTCAGGGGTTTTTTCATCTGTTTTTGCTTTAATTTAACTACATACTAATAGGGGAGTTGATAACTCAAGCAAATGCTAGTTTTTATAAGTAGGTCACTAATGCTAGTTGAAATTCATGTCCCCTGGAAGTTTATATTTGGTCATTGCTTTCTGGAAGTGAAGGGAGCAGCAGGGCAGTGCTCTCCACACTTCCCTATACCAAGGTGACCCCAGTCTGGGGAAGTTGCAGGGAGTCTTTCCCCACTGCTTTATTCCCTCTGGGAATGGTAGGTGTCTCTGGGCTACTGTTTGGGCTGGGGCTGGTGGGACCCCCCTATCTTGGGGTTAGGGTTGGTGCCAGTAGAGTCCTCCAGGCTAGAATTAGGGTTGAGAAATGGTAACACCTCCCAAGAGAGGTGCTGGTAGAACTCCCATATCTAGACTTAAGACTTCAGTTGATGGGGTCCCCAACAAAAGAGTACAGTCCTGCTCCATACAGCTATCTGTGCTCAGGTTAGGTTTTTGTCTGCTAGGGTTCTCCAACTTTGGCCTAAAGTTGTGGCTTATAGAAAGACCTGGAGTAGGTTTGGAGGCCTGGCCAATAGCCACCTCCCATCCCTTCAACCCCATCTAGGGCAGGGGTTGAAGCCAGGAGGGCTAGGGTTGGAGCTAATAGTATTGGTGGCCTAGTATTAGGGACAGAGCTGGATCCCCAGCCTAAAGTTAGGACAACAGCAGCAGAGTCTCTTGTGGGTATTTAACCCCTAGGCTTTTGCTTGCTGTTTCCATTCATAGTAGGACTGTTCAGTTTCACCTCAGGAGGGCTTGTCTTCCCATCAGGAGTGGAAAATACTGTAGACAGATACCGTCTCCTTGCCCTCATCTCTCTTGCAGAGGCACCATGAGGTACTGATTCCACTCACCAGCTCGCAGCAGAATGTCTTCACCTACCTGGCTATGCTTTCTGTCCTCTCTTAGCATGTCACAGTGAAGCACTTCAGAGTTTTCTTTTTCATCCAAGGTCATTTTTTATATGATATAAGACAATTTGTGGTGCTCCAGTGTTGTGCATCATCTGTACACTCATTTTCTAAAGCATTTTAAAGGTACATGGAGCACTTCAAACATTACATCCTTCCAGTCCCCTTTGGGCTAAACTCAGAGAAGAATCTATCACCATAGACTTGACTTGTGGCATTATGGACAGCTGAGGTCCATCTTTGCAGACTCAGAAGCACTTTCGTTCTTTCTCCAGGGCTCAGTATTTGGAATCAGTTTCGGGCTCTATATGTGTACCCTTCCTGATAAGTCTGGGGAAGACTGAACTGGATCTTCTAGTTCTAGACTCGCACAAAAAGAATGCAGTCCTACAAAAAGTACAGGAGTGTTTGGTAAGCAGATCTTTTTTTCATGCAGTAAATGGGGGGGTGAAGGAGAATGCTAATTTGGAATGACTTCTGTTTCATCCGGCTAAAAGAAGTGCTGGTTTAACACTGCTTTGGAAGTTTTGCATTACAGCTTTATCAAGTCTGTAGCTTTTGCTGTAATACAGTCACTTCAAATATAAGTTATGATTTATCAATTTGTGTTTGATTTAATAACCTCTGTGCATTGAGTTAACATTAAGATACGACTGGGAAACATGGAGTATTCAAACCATGTTATAATGTGGCTGCTTCTTTTCTGTGGCTTTATCTGTACTTTACAGGAAGTTCAATGCTCACAGTGGTTGCAATGGGGTAAAACTGGTGTAGATTAAGTTCTCTCTAACTCTGCCTTAAAGTTAGACAGCACAATGGTGAAAACTGAAGCTCTGCAAGAGCTTCCATTACTATACCAGAACAGTGGTGTGTGATTTTTCTGAAAATTCTCAGTGTTAGATGCTAAGTGGACAGAAAATGTGTGTTATTACCATGTTGGAGAAATAAATTTTATCCTAAGTTATCTTAGGACCCAGGGAAGCCCCAACCATTCAGGAGCCTGAAAGGCCAGGGGATCCCACTGCAGACAGCCGCTTGAGTCTGTCTAATAAGCAGCAACAACAGCAGCTGGTGGGGTCCACGTGTGAGTAATCACCAGGGATCCTGGTTTTCTCTGATTTAAAAATTGCAAATTCTCTGGTTAAAAACCCAAAATCCGTGATAAAAATTAAAGGCCCCCCACAACCCCTCCCAGTGCTGCTGGTGCTCTGTACTTGCCCCCACAGTCTCAACAGCCCTCCTGATGCCCCTCACAAAAGCCCCCCAGACCAGACCCACAGACACTGACACCCACCCCAGCAGGTAAAGTGTCTGGGGGGAAGGGGTGGGGCAGGGCAGGGGAAAGGGAAGGTGCTGAGGGGTAGATCAAGAAGTGGAGAGTGTGTCCCTGTGCCCACTCGCAGGAGCAGGGCAGGGGGGTGAGGGCAGGGGTGCCATCCTGTGGGCCATGCACATGCTGGCCGGCTTGACAGGAGGTTCGCACATGGAGGCCGCCACCGCAACTGCCACTGTGCCCTGTGCTACCATCTCACGGCCACCTGAATGGCTTTGTGGGCAAGTGGTGCAGGGCGCAGCAGCAGCAGTGCGGTGGCAACCGCCATGTGCGGGCCACATATGTGCCGCCCGGCTGGGGGGTGAAGTGGGGGGCTTGCATGTGGCGGCATGCCCCGCAACTGACTGCATGGCTCCGCGGTGGTGTGTGGTGGCTGCATGCAGGGTTGTGGGGGCTTTGCAGGCAAGTGCTGCCACCGTGGAGCCATACCTCTAGGATCCAGGGGCAAAGGGTAAGTGGGGCTTGGGGGCAGTGGGGCAGGGCTGGGAAAGATGGTTGGGAGCAGGGGGTGCTGCCAGCCCCAGATGGCACTGTAGCTGGGGGCAGGGGTGCCCCTCTGCAGGGAGCTTTGCAGGCAAGTGATATGGGGGGCAGTGTGGTGGTGCCTGCCATGTGCTGTGTGACTGGCGGCAGTAGCACAGTGCGGGGTGGTGGTGGGGATGGCTGCGTGCCGCCCCACGACCACCATGCTGGTGCCTGGCAGCCGGCCGCACAGCTCCAGGCACAGCTCCGCGGCGGCCGTGGGAGGTTGTGGAGGCAGCGGCTGTCACTGCTGTCATGGCCCTCCAAGTAAGTGGCAGCGGTTGCTGCACACTAGCCCAAGCCGCACCCCCCCCATCCCTTGCCATGGCTTCAGAGCAAGCCATGGAGCCGTGCCCCAGCCTCATGCCAGCCTCTCTCTTTCCCCCTCCCCTGGACAGGCGGCCAGGCAGCACATGGCAGGCACCCCTGCTTTCACCCCCTGGCCCTGCTCCCCGCTATGACGTGCTGCCTAGGGCCGGCAGCACCTCCCACGCCCTCAGTCCCCAGCCATCTTCCCCAGCCCTGCCCCAAGCCCCATTTACCTCCATGCTCCAGGGGCAAAGGGCGAGTCTGAGCCTGAGCCCAGCCTTGGCTGCCTCAGAGGCTCAGGCCCTGCTCTCCCTCTCTCCTTTCCCCTCTGGCCAGGGCTGGGGGTTTCCCGTCATTTTTGTAAACCGGCTCTTGCAAGCTGGAGCTGCGCCAGCCTACAAAAGCGCTTTGCAAGAGTGGAGAATCCACGGATTTCTCTGCTAAAAAGAGAAATCTGCATTTTCTCCAATTAAAAACTAGGAATCTGTGGTTTTCTACTTTTTTCCATGGGAAACAGAAAACCTGGATCCCTGGTAATTGCACCACCTGGTCTTTAACTTAAATAAGCACCGAGGAGGCTGTGTCACTGGGGTCCACCCCACAGACACGCTGGTGGGTACATGCCATACCCCTAGGCTTCCAGGTCTGGATGGAGCACCCACCCTTGGTGCTGCAGAGGTCTTTACCCACACAGAGTCAATGGTCGCAGCCTCCATGCAGACAGAGCCCTTGACTCCAGGCTGCAAGGACTGCCTGGCACATTTGATGGAGACTGGGAGTAGGGCCACTGGCACCTCCGCTTGTGGGATGTGCTCCCTGGTGAAGGCTCTGAAGGGCCTGGTGAGGGAGCTCCAGGAGGAGGTGAGCAGGTTGCAAGTCATCAGGGAACACGAGGCAGAGAGAGATGCGTACTGCTGGGCCCTGCATCCAGAGAAGGACTCCATGGAAACCGAGCAAAAGAACAAGCTTGAGCGAGATGCATCTGCCGATGGTGGGTGGAAGTTGGTCACATCAGGCCCGAAGTCACAAGGTGAGTCAGTAGTTCCACCGATGGCCCTGCACAACAGCTTTGCAGCCCTCGCATCATTGACATGGAGGGGCATCCGTGTCCGCTGCTCTGCAAACAGGACAGGAACAGCCACCCCCCACCAAGGAAGCAACGAAGGGTAATTGTTGTGGGAGACTCCTTGCTTCAAGGCACAAAAGGAGCCATTTGTTGTCCAGACCCCCTTGCAGTAGAGGTCTGCTGCCTTCCAGCAGCCAGGATCTGAGATGTCACAGAAAGGATCCCTAGGCTGGTCCACCCTGTGGACCACTACCCCATGCTGCTTGTCCATGTGGGCACCAATGACACAGCAAGAAACAGCCCTGAGAGAATCATGGGTGAGAACAAGACCATGGGGGCGATGCTCAAGGACCCAGGGGCACAAGTGGTCTTCTCAGTCCTCCCAGTCAGGGGCTGAGGCCAATGGAGGGAGGAGTGTATTAAGGAGGTAAACTGAAGGCTTCGGAGATGGTGTCACTGCATTGGCTTTGGATTCCTCGACCTAGGTAGACAATTCAAAAGCAGTGGGCTACATGCAAGGGATGGTATTCACCTCACAGGCAGAGGAAGAAAGCTCTTCTCTATGAGAATTGGCAACTCGCTGAGGAGAGCTTTAAACTAGACACAACTGGGGGTGAGGGGGGAGCTTCCATTGTTGTATATGAAGCCACTACTGTACATGAATCCTCTTTCCATGATAACCTGAGAGAGAGCATTGAAGTAGTGGACACCCAGATGAGCACCACCATCCTGAGACACTTGCACAGTGACCAGCAACTGGAGGATTTGGGAGTTCAGGCGTGATGGTACCTCCTCAAGGGAGCAATCCTCTCTGCTCAAAAAGAGGCCATTCCCATGATATAAAAAAGCAGGAAAGGAGCCAAGAGACCTGCTTGGCTCAACAGAGTTATTATAGAACCCTTGAAAAAGCAAAAGGACACATACAAGCAATGGAAAAAAGGATCAGCAACCAGAGAAGAGTTCACTAATATAACCAGGGTGTGCAGGTATGAGATACAGAAAGCTAAAGCAGGCATAGAAATCAAGCTAGCATCCGAAATTAAGGACAACAAAAAGTCCTTCTACAGGTACATAGGTATCACGGCGCGGGGTCCTAGGAGTGGCCGTGATATCTCCTAACGCCCCTACCGTGCCAAGTTAGGTATAAAGCACCCTCGTTCTCGCCCGCCACGTCTTTGATAGTATCTATATTTATAATGGAGGCTGCCTTTTGTCCCCTTGGACATGGTGCTCTGGTCTATCCTGACCCCTGGTCCTTTATGGATTGACTTGGCGCACCCCAGCCTTATGGGCTATGCGTGGCTCCAACCTTCCCTATACCACGCCCCAAGCCTCGCAGATGTCACGGATGTTATCTAGTCAGTTCTTCTTTCCGCGCCCCCGGGCTTGTCACGCAGCCGGCGCCCACTCACTGGCGCCCCCGGGCTTGTCACGCTGCTGGCGCCCACTCACTGGCGCCTCTCACAATTGGGGCTCAGGTGGCCGTAGCCATGCCTGGCCCCCAAATCCCCTCTTCAGGTCCTACGCCCACTGGGCTCTTACAATTGGGGCTCAGGTGGCCGTAGCCGTGCCTGGCCCCTGAATCCCCTTCTCGGGTCTTCAGTTCCTGTGGGGCTCAGGCAGCCTCATGCCTACCTGGCCCCCAGTCCTCTACACCCCTTCTCAGGACTGGGGTCAGTGCCCCCTGAACGTTGTGCCCTCTCTGGGCTTCTTGCCTGTGCGCCCCTCCCTGGGGCTTCTCAGCTATGCACCCCTCCTCGGGGCTCCTCTCCGCACTTGGGGCTCAGGTGGCCTTAGCCGTACCTGGCTCCTAAATCCCCTACTTGGGTCACCAATTCCTGTGGGGCTCGGGCAGCCTCGTCCTTACCTAGCCCCTGTCCTCTGTGCCCCTTCTCAGGGCTGGGGTAGTGCACCCCTAAATGCAGTTCCCCCGCTGGCACGGGGGTCCCCACCACTGTGGAGCCCCACTGAGGCCTCCTCCACCCATATTAGCCTCACCCGGTCCTCCGGTCCTATAAAACTACAAACAGAAAACTCAAGCCCCTGGGCTACAACATAAACTCCAAGCCAACTGGCCAGCCCTCGTTCAACTCCCTACCAGGGCTTCCTCCACCCGGTCTCCTTGACCAGAAGCTGCTCAGGCCATCAGGCTTCCCTTCTCTGCTTACTCTCGCAGAGCTCCTTCTTCCTCAGCTGCCAGAGGGGAACTGCCTCCCTGGCCTCAGCCTGGACTCCATTTTATTTAGTTCAGGCCCTGTCCCCTTCTGGTCAGCTGACCAACTGTGGTTGCCCCAGCAACCGGCACCTGTATCTCTTCTTAGGAGCAGGGTGCCAAAGTGCCCCTGCGACAATAGGGAGCAAGAAAAAATCGAGTTTGACTGTGGGTTCCCTGCTAAATATGGAGGGGCAGCCCACAGTAGATCCCCATGAAAAAGTTGAGCTCCTAAATGGTTACTTCACATCAGTATTCCAGAAAGTTAACAGGAGCTGTGCACCTGTCTGGAGGCCCAGGGAATATGGGGAGGTCAACAGACTACATGAAATCAACCCCAACCAGGTGAGGGTCCTCTTAGAATACCTGGAGTTTTTCAAGTGTGCTTGGCCAGACAACTTATATCCAAGAGTTGTAAAAGAACTGACTGAACTCACAGCAGGGCCTTTGGCAAAGATATTTGAAAAGACCTGGAACTCGGGAGTGGTCCCGACAACTGGAAGAGGGCCAACATTGTACCCATCTTTAAGAAAGGGAGGAGGGATGACCCTGCAAACTATAGACCAGTCAGTCTGACTTGGGTCCAAGGAAAAACTTTTGAGAGAATTATTAAAGAGGCCATCAGTCACAAACTTGTAACAGACAGGGTGTTAAGAAACAGCCATCACAGCTTTGTGAAGGGTAGATCATGCTTAACAAACCTGGTGTCCTTTTACCACCAGGTAAGTAACCAGCTGGACAAGGGACATGCGGTAGACATCATCTGCTTTGATTTCAGTAAGGCTTTTGACTCCGTCGTCCATGAAATTATCTCAGTTAAACTGTACAGGCCTGGACCAGTCTATGGTGAGATGGATGGATAGCTGGCTTAGAGGCCGGTCCCAGGGATGTCTCCAATGGTGTCCCACAGGGATTGGTGCTTGGACCCCTGCTTTTTAACATATTTATTAATGATTTGGACAAGGGGGTGGAATGCTCTGTGATTAAGTTTGCCAATGACACTGAACTGTGGGGAAATGCAAGCACATGAGAGGATAGGGCAAGGATCCAGGACGACCTAGACAGACTGGTTCTGTGGGCGAATCAGAATTGGATGAGGTTCAACAGGGACAAGTGCCAGGCCCTTCATCTGGGTAGAAAGAACCTTTGCCATAACCATAGCATAGGTGGTAGCCTGCTGGCTGGCGCAACATCTGAATGAGACCTGGAGGTGACAATCGATCAGAAAATGAGTAGGAGCCAACAATGCGATGAAGCTGCCAGCAGGGCAAATGGAACTGTGGCAGGCATCAGCCGATTGTGTTGCTAATAGATCCAGAGAGGTGCTCCTCCCTCTCTATTCAGTGTTTGTGAGGCTGCAGCTGGAGTACTGTGCCCAGTTTTGGGCACCGCACTTCAAGAAGGATGCGGATAAGCTCGAGAGGGTGCAGAGAAGGGCCACCCGCATGATCAGGGGCCTGGAGGATAGGTGAAGGGACTCTGAGAACTAGGCTTGTTCAGCCTGAGTAAGAGGAGGCTGAGAGGTGACCTAATAGCCACCTACAAGTATGTCACGGGCGAGCACCAAGATCTGGAGGAGCAACTCTTCAGGAAGGCACCCCTTGGAAGGACAAGGACCAATGGGCAGAAACTAATAGAGGGAAGATTTAGACTAGATGTAAGGAAGAACTTCTTCTCCGTAAGGGTAACTAGAACCTGGAGCACACTCCTGGCAGAGGTGGTGCAGTCACCATCCCTGGAGGTGTTCAAGACAAGGCTGGTTAAGCAAGCACCTCATTGAGCTAGTTTGAGCTCAGTAACCTCTTGCCTATGGCAGGGGACTGGGCCTGATGATCTTCCACGTCCCTTCTGGTCCTATGATTCTGTGATCTCTCAGGGTTTCTGTACACTGTTTATAACAGAGATTCAGTGCTTCCTTGTCCCCTCACATTTGTTTCTCTACATTCCCCTGTTGTCTCTTTTCTTTTACTTGGAGTATAAGCTGTTTGGGGTAGGACCCATCTTGTTGTTGTATTTGTGCAGTTTCTAGGATATTGGCACCCTGATCAATGATGGGGCTTCTACATGCAACACCACTTACAAATATTAATAAGAATACTGTTTTGTCAGCCCCATGTGCAAGCCTAAGATATTTTAACACGGCTTATCAACAGCTGTTGCATCAGTGTATCTAAACAGGGACAGGGAGAGTTTTTTATTGGCTAGCTGGGGTCTTCCTGACTTACTTGAGTAAGGATCATGGAATTGGGTCCACTGCCTTTTTAAAAAAAACATTTGTAGGCAATAACGTTTAAGGAATAAGCTAAATTCTTTGGTTGAAATTCCAGTGGCACCAAAATGTAGGGCTCCACTCTAAGCTCCAACACAAGATACTGTAAAGTATCCATGAAATTCTGGACCAGAAAAGCATAAGCGGAGACTGAGGGGCTGTGTTCCTGAAGACAGTTAGTGTTAGGTAGACAGATTTAAATATATTTATATTTACATATCTCTTCAGCTCTGCTCCCACCAGATGTAAAAGTGTGTGCTGGTGCATACAAGTCACAGCACAGTTTCTGGCTGAGCAGCCTGCCAGTTTTTTCAGGACAAAGGTTGGACAGCTGCAAAGGGCCAAACTTTTCTGTAACTTCTGGTCACACAGAGTGGTTTTTGGAATGGCTCACAGGGATTATTGCTTTGGCTGTTTTCTGAAGGAAAGCCATCTAGCTCGGCACACAACATTCCTTTGTTCTCATTTAAAGCACAATAAAGCCTGTATTTGCCACTCATTCCCTTACAGTCCGCTTGTATGTGTTGTAGCGCTGCATTACAAGGATATTGGTCTCTCATCTCCACTTCTTACATATGTTCTCTGTGTCCCCCATTAAGTTTTATTGTTTGCACTCTAAGCAGGAAACATTTCTTTAAAGCCTTATTCACTTCCTTCTGTGGCTCAAAGCACTCTCCTGAGAAGTCACTGCCACACACACAGAGGTGGTTACCACAGCCCAGGCTTGATGTGTTTGTCTTGAAACTGTATCCTGTCCTCCCAGCCTTTGCTGATCCTGAGCAGCTGGCACGGGAAGCTCCACAGAGCAGGGAAGTGGAAGATATTTCCTCTCAGGCTGCAGAGTTGTTTTTTTGTTTGTCTGTTTGTTTTATGACAATTTTTCATGTTTTAAGTCAAATCAGCCAAATCAATTCCAAATCAGTGAGTCAGTCAAGAACCATAAGTGGCCCTACTATGGGCAAACCTCATACAGCCCCACCTGGGGCTTCAGATGTTTCCAAATCATTTGGCAGGCATCTACATGCAGGCCCAGAGTCTTAGGGTTTGGATGCCCCCGAGTTTTGCTTGCCCTCAGCCACATGGCTGCAGAAGCAAGCTAGGGAGGAGTCTCCATTTCCATGAAGTGGGCATTAAGCCAAGATCTTCCCACTCAAGCAACAAGTAGGAGGTTAACTATACATTATTTCCATGGGTACTACTCTGTGCCAGAAAAGCGGTTATCGCCAGTGACTAGGAAAACTGCCTTAGTGGTCACTTTTACTAGTGCTGTTCTGTTTTTGCTGCTGTAAACCTTGAGCCAGTAATGGTCCCTGCTGATGTTGAATCCCTGCTACCCAGGGGGAATTGATTGGTTGATCCATGTAGCTACAGATGCTCTTTCCTCTCATCCACTGCTACTGAGCACCACACAGCCCAGTGCACTGGGAAGCAGAAAAAGACTCTGCAGAGACCGCAGACCCTCCATTGGAACGTCTGTTCAAGAAATCTGTGCTCCATGATCTCAGCAGATAGTAGCTGCTTGTTTGCAAGTTGGGTGGATATGTAAAAGTGGGAAGGGTTTTGCTCTAGTAACAGCTGTACTTGTTGCTTTACCATTGAATGTACACATTTACATTTAAAGACGCAATAACCCCACATTTAACTTTACCAAATTTCCATTGAAGTGTATAGTACTGATACTAGCTTTGCCAATGAGGCAAACACATTTGCATGGACCCTCTTTGTTTCAGAATGGCTCCATTGATGATGAGTATGATGTTGATGTGCTTGGCAATCTCATCTGCCACTTACCTCCGGCAGCTATCCGTGGTGGAATGTCCCTGCAGGCAATGGCAGTAGCCCTTCACCGGTTCAAATTCTGCCACCAGCTCAGCCATGAGCAGAAGACAGAAATCAAATCCAGACTTATTGAGCTGTATGGGTAAGATCTTGTACAGTACTGCTTTGGTTGCGGTTAATCCATACAAATACTAACCATTTGCTTTGTCCAGACAGAACTGCAGTAAAAACGAATCAAATCAACCTCTGTAATTGTCTGAGCCTGTAAGGCCCACATTCATCTTGATGGCATTTTCTGTTTTCATGTAATGTGATGAGCCTAATTTATCACTGCCCATGCTCTCGATAGAGTTAAACTTCCTGACACCCTGACTGACAGCTCTGGGAGAAAGAAAAGAATTATTAGTGGCAGAGATTGAAGGGCACACAGATCTCCTGGCATGAGGAGCTGGGGCATTTTCAGTGAGTCTCTAAAACAGAGGCAGGGAAGGGTAACATACAGGGAGCTTGTGGAGGTTGTGGGGAGCCCCTGGCGTATGCAATCCACTTACCTAGAGAAACAATTAAACATACAACCCTCTGGGGTTAATTCACAACTGTCGGGATAAAAGCCCTATCAGAGCCTTACTCATGTATCACTTATACAAAGAAAATGATCCCAGCTCCCCAGATTAGAAGAATGCACAATTTCCCTCTCTCTTGTTCCTTTTGGGAAACTCTTACATTTGAGATACTCAGTACAAAACTGCTACCCCCTACTCATCCTAAGATAAGCTGTGGTACACCCACTCTCTCCACAGCCAGTCACTAAAAGCTGCCCGTCGTTTGTTGCTCTCTTTGAATCGTCTCCAAATTGTCAGTATTTATCTGGTAACCGAGTGCTCAGAACTGAATACATTAAAGAAAGGGTTAAAAATCAACTTTCTCTTCACACCAAGAAGTTGGATAACAGCAGCTCTACTGAAAACTGTGTTTTAGCTTTTAAACTGTATTTTTTCATATCTGTGCACTTGACACAGCTTAACACGGATAAAAGGTAAGATATCACATCCTGTGGAGCTAAGTTGTGCTGCATTTAGTAACATGTTCGACTACCTCAGACATCATGATAATAGGGAAAATCCTGGAAATCCAATAGGACTTTGCTACTGTGATCATGCAGAAGCCTGCATGGAGCTTCATGGAAGGGGAGAAGAATTGATTATACTCCAAGATGTACCAGTCTCCCCAGGTGGGCTGGTAACTAAGCAACAGGCCAGCCGTTGGGGAACATGAATACGTGACTGGTTAAACCAGGCCTTTGACCTTTATCCTGCAAATATTTAAGCATGAGAGCAAAGTTACAAGTATCTACAAGATTAGGCTTTGGATATAGCATTTTACAGCAGGGATGGAATCTATTTTTGTTGAAGTTCCTAACTGATTGTAATAGTTGTCCCTTTCGTGAAAAAGATGAGAGAAATTTAAAATGGGGCAATCTTGTTATTCTGTAGATATGATGGCAATGAGCTGTTATAGGTTCTGAAATAGAGGGATGCACTAAGAGGGAATTTGAAAGCTCTCTCTGGCTTTACAGATGGACCATAAATAAGGGAGTTAAAGAAAAATATGACCTGATGTTAACAAATCTAAAATAGTTGTTTAGCACAGAGATCTTGATCTTTCTGAGAGGATAGGGTATAAAAATGTGGCATTTCAGCACTAGTGTTGGGCAGATGTGATATTGCAGAAATTATTTATTTTTAATATAGCTTTCCTAAACATTTTCTCAGCTCCCCAAGGAACTGGACAGCTGAAACAACACTGGATATCGGACCATTCGTAGCTCTTTTGAGAAAAGATGAATTAAGTGTCCTTGCTGAAAAGGTATCCTTTCATTTACATTTTTTAGAATGTAGAAGATAATTTTAAAGCTTTGCAATGACAAATGTTATTGTTCAACTTAAAATGCATCGTCTTAGTATGGATACTGTGTATTGGATTCCCCTTGAAAGGAACCTTGTATATATTTTTGTCCAGTCCTTTATCCCTTGTCAGTCAAAACTTGGATGGTTTAATCTGGGAACTCATGGTAATGTAATCAGTTGTTTATGTAACTGCTTTCGTTAGTTGTATATTGTTGCATAGGATGATATAGTTGATGGGCTTACACATTTTTTAAGCTTTACATGCAGCAGTGTTCCCCGCTTTCTCAATCCTGTCAACCCAATGTGTAGACTTACCTTGGTTGAATTAAAACTGTGTCTTTTGTCATTATTAACTATGGGAGCACGTGATGAGAGAGAGAGGGTCAGATGATCACTTGTACAGTTACTGTTTTGCTTAAGAGCTAGTTCGGTATGAACATCCTCAGTCATCTAACATCCTCAGTCATAAGACTATATCTTGCTCTCCCAGAGAGTTGGGCTGTGTTTTCTTTTTCCTATCATTCTTTTATAATCTTGTGATCTTTGTGTATCAGTGTAAACTTGTGAATCCACACTACAGCAATAAAGCATTGTTCCCGTCAGCAAGGTGTTTTCCTCAAGAGATCATGTTTATAACTGGAAATCAAACTGAGTTACAGATCAGCAAAAAAAAAGTGGTGGTGGGCCTCATTCCAGCCTTCTGACCCTGGGGCTAGGGCTTCACCTCCCCATAATCTTTCTTCCCTTCCTCTTGTCATCCAAACAGCCATTTTACAGTCCTCCCCCACCCCCACAAACACCTAGAGAGGACTGGAGAACTGAGCTGCAACTAACCCCTTGGTTACAGAGACTCATGCCATTGTCCTGCCCTTTGTCACATCCTAATCACTTCTTTGTTTCAAAAAGGAGGGAATTCTGAAAATGTCTCATTCATCTCTCATCTTGCAGTTTCCAGATACCATTCTGCAAATAGCAAAGATGGCTGGGCCAGCTCCTCTACCTGAAGAGTTCCTATCTACTGTATTTGAAACTGTTCACAACTCTACCATCCTCACTGCAGCATCTAACCACGGGACTGGTGAGTATTTTTGTTGTGTCAGAAGGACAAGTTGATAATGTTGATATTTTTGGTTGTGCTTCTGCAGTCTGAGTGGTCTCTTGGGTTTACTTTGTCATGAAATCCACCTTGAGAAACGGCAACTGAAAGCACAACCTCAAGCATTTGATAGGTTCAGTCTTTCAGAACAATCAGTTGGTTTGTATTATTGCCCAGCTAATGAAACACTTTGTTCCATTAAAAATATGCAGCTAAATATCTACTGAAAGATGTGGGGGTGCTTGGAGGAAAAAGATGAATGATTTTTTGTTAATTTTAGTTTTGTTTGGTTTGCTGGTAGAAATGAAATTTCCATGAATAGACAGATACCGGAGATGGGCAAGATATTGAGCCAAAAGATTGCACCCATTTAATCTTTTGTCAGATGTCAGAATATGTTGACTCAGCTATTCTGAAAGTGACAAGTGGTGCTGTATTTTAGCTGTCTGCATGGACTAAATGTAATCTAAAATGTATGTTAATCTGTAGTGACTACATTCAAGTGTTCATTGTACAGGAGATCTTGTGCCAAATGGAGTCTATCTTCTGTATGTCTTATGTACTTCAATTTTACATTACTATTTCTGTAACTATAATTTCTATGGGCTTCGGATGCCATAGCCGTCCTTTTGCCCCAGTATCTCATCCATATATGTGCAAGGATGGGTTTGTATAGAGCCCCACTTAAACCCAGAGGAGAAATGCCAGATTTGCTATGGTAGTTGAAGAAATGAATTTAGCCCTAATCATGGGGCATTCATGTACAAAAGGATGCAATGTGGCTGTATAATTAAACTGCTGTGTTTTTGCCTCTGTTCAACAAAATAATGAGCTGTGGTATTATTCCAGATATATGCTGATGTAGAAGAGCAGAATCTAACCCAAAGGGGATAATCGTGCTTTTAGGTGATTTCAGCATTTCTGTGGAAGATGGATGAAATCCACCCCTTCTTGCACCAGGAAACTATAAATTCAGGAATCATAAATCAAGCTTAATTCCACCCTGGAGTGTGCCACAAGTTTGAGGAACCCAACCCACCTATTTCAGCTTGCCTTCTGCATCCTTTAGGATGTGTTTTAGGATGTGGTCACAATATCATAGATCAGCGATTCTCAACCTTTTTAGACTTGAGGCACTTCTCAAAAAAAACTTGAGGCACCCCTCAGAAAATGTTTAACTACAGAAGAATAATAGAGGATTTTTTCTGTTGCAGAGAGCTCAGAAAGATCGCAATACTATAGATTCCTATTTGAAAACTCTGGATTTATCTTGCAAACTGTGTTTATACACCTAACAATGCTAAAACTTGTTTGGCACCCTGCAGCACCTTTGAAACAATTTCAAGATACCCCAGGGTGCCACAGCATGTTCGTTGAGAATCACTGGTATAGATCCAGAAGCCTTCCCTTATTTTGCTTCACCCGGGGCCCCTCTGCATTCAGGGCTGGTGTAAGGAGCCCCTGTCTGCAGTAGGTAACCAATACTGACCCCCCCCCCCAATGCAGCTGCTCTCTCCACTAAGAGCTGTGGAG